ACAGAGATGCCCTGGGTGGAACAGGAATCCCCATCATTGGAGCAAGACCAGGTAATTTGGTAATTTGTCCTACAATTTCAAAATACATATTAATGCACACTAAGGTGTTAATAATTCATTCTGTGGCTAATTAATTCAGGAGTATTTGTGGAAAAAACTTTAAGGTCTTAAAGCTCTTAAATTAGTCTTCTAACTGTTTCTGTTTTTTTAATTATCTTTATAAAACAGGACTCAATGGGACAGTTCCAGGTCAGTGTTTATTTCACAGTCAGAGCTTTTGCATGATTGTCTGCAAGCACTTTAAGTTCATCCATTTCTGTCAGAGAGCATCTGTGTCACTGTTGATGATGTAAACCAAGGTGGATGTTTTGGTTCTGTATCTTTCTTTCTTTCTTTCTTAGCTTGTTAGTCCCAAAAACCATCATGCAGAACACTGTTTCTTGGATTTAGGTGTGGACAGTGCCATCATGTGGTCATTTATAAAGCACTTTGTGTTTTCACTCCTAACATCTGAAGTATAGAAGAAAACATTCAGGAATCTTTCAAAGTTCCTGCCTACACACATTTTACGAATTCAGAAACCAATTACAATGGAACTATTTAACATTTCTAACATTGGTACACAAATAATGAAAACTTCAACTGGAATAAAAGAGGTCATATAAACAGCAGTATACTTATTATTATTACAGACGCTTAAAGTTTCAACTCAGTTAGCACAGAAACTAGTGGTGAAATATTTACAGTGTTTTTAAAGGCATTAAATGTTCTGATGGGGATACGTCTATATTTACAAATCAAAACTGAACATCCACTCTACGGCTAGAATTCTGATGAGACTGAACTGTGTTTCTAAACGCCTAAGTACTGCATGTATCATCTACATAACAAATGAAGAAACAAAAACATGTTTCCTGTAGGAATGAATAATACTGATGATTTTGTTCTCATATCCTACAGGTTCCACAGGAGCCGCCCCTGGTAAGTTCACATTAAATACACCGAGCACTGACATGTTAGTTGTGAGAGGTTAACAGAGCTTTTTATACAGTAATAAGATACTATGGATTCTGAAATACCACAAGCATAATTTAAACACAACCAGTGGCATATCACACTATCACCAGTGCTTTTAAATTTGATGCATCACAATATTTCTCCACTTGAATGCTTTGACTGGTGTACTTGAGTGTTTTTCTCGTACTTCCTATCACTTAACTGGCACCACACAATACTGCACAGCAGGTTGACATTATCTAACAGCTGTAACTGGCTACAAACATATTTAAAGAGCATTTAATTTTGAAAATGTATTGCAAAGCTGGTTCTGACTGCTAGCTACCTAAGATAATCTTTATTTTCTGTCCTGACAGTTGGTGGCGGGGCTGTACAACCAAGTGGTACGTAAACCTTAATAAACTGTTTGTTTGTAAATCATACATG